ACCCCAATCATAGTATAGAGGGGGAAAATGAGGCACATAAAGACTAAGGGACTTGCTCGAGGCCATACGGGGTAGCTGTGGCAGAGCAGGGAATTGAATCTGGGTCTCCCCAGTCATGCTAACCACTGAGCCCTCAGTCCTTTGCTAGCTTGTATTGCAATTAAGGCTGCACCACTGATGTACAGCCCAGCAATATAGTATTTTCCCTATTATTCTCCCCCTTGAGGCCTTTTGTGTCTCCCTGCCTTGTCTTCCAAGCAGTCCAAGTGCTGAGACTCCTCAAGCACCATCTGTGGGAGGGGTTAGGTTGTGGATTGAAAGGGCCAGGGAACTGAGCAGCAGTGCTGAAGGCAATGCTAATGTAGCCACAGGGTACATATTGTGGTGACTGTGCGTGCACCCCAGTGGTCTCTGCTCCATAGAAGCAGAACTGCTCCACCATGTATCCTAGATCCATATTGCCAAAGGGCAAGGAGGATTCCCTTTTGGGCACGACAGGGGGAGGAAATCAGGGCTATATCCCAGCCTGTAGCCAACCCATGCTCACTATTCCTAGGGCCCAGTTCTGCACTCGGTGTCCAGAGGCAGCCTCACGGTGGATGGAATGGTATTGCCATAAGACTTACTGAAAGCATTTTTATTGGAGTTCATACAGACCGTCTGAGAAAGAAAACATGGGAAATGACATGGGGGGAACACCTTCTCCCACCCCCCAAAACCTTGTGTGTGTATTGGCACTGGGGCTCGCTGTTAACCATAGCTGCTGTTTCTCCAAACAGGCTCTGAATTTGAGAGACTGGGATTTTCAGGTTAGGACATTCTGCACCTAAGTGGAACCCTGTTCTCTCCTCCACTCCTCCAGGCCGGCTTGGAGCCAGTGCCCCCTAGAGGGGAAAGGCTTTTTAATCCCTGACTCACCAGTAGCTGTGAAACAGCCCAGCCTTGTGTATCATCCTGGCTCCAACTGATGACTGTGCTGGTCATAGGGCTTCAGCTCAAAGTCAAATTGAACTGCTCTTCCCCCCCCCCCCAGTCTAAGCAACATCAGACCCCCTGGTGCCTAGCGAGTATAAGCCAGAGCTAACAGGCCTGCTCTCTTGTCTGGTGGTTCATTTTCCCCCTTCATCTGATTTGCCTGGCAAGAAAACTGCCATGGGATGTTTTAAAACCCCACTTTTCCCAGCATTGCCATGGCTTCACATTTGCTGTTTTCTTGTTAAAGTCCCTGCTCCTGGAGTCAAGACATTGTGAGAGACTCTCATGTGAGCCCAGCATACACTCCGATTTTAGCCTTTGTAAAGCTGAGTTATTAGTGTGACTGGCTTTTTAAATGGCTAAAGTCATCCCTGTACAAGTCCCAGGCTGGAGGCGGTTAAAAGTTTAATGGTGGCTCACCCCCATATATTTATCTCCTTCCCATACAGGGATAGCAGGACACCAGCTCACACGCAGCACTTGTCATTAGATCTGCTGCAGCACAGGGCGTGGGCTGCCTGCTGGGATCAGCCAGGCATGTCTCACCTCATCAATCCCTGCCTCACAGAGGCCTCGAGGCCCCTCCATCTTTCCTGTTCTCTGCCTGGGGCTCAACAATTGAGTTGAAACATAGCCCCAGGAGACTAAAGTAACTGCACTCAGCACAAGGGGATTTGGGTGGAATTTAATGGCCTGCATTTATAAAGGAGGCCAGACTGGATGATCTAATGGTTCTGTCTGGCTTAGACTCTATGAAACTAACTCAAAGCACTTTACAAGGCATTCAGTATCACCAGCTACCTTTTTCAGGAGGGAAACCGAGGTATGGCGCTCTGAAGTGACTTGCCCAAGGTCACCGGGAATAAACTCCAGATCCCTGTCCAGTGCTCTATCCAGTTTCTGTATAAACAAGGTCTTGATTAAAGTAACACACTTGTATTGCACCAAACTTGGTGTTTGAAACAAACAAAGACAGTTTAAGTGAAACCAAAGCAATATGTATGCATTGAGTGGATTTTAATATTTCCAGCCCTCGTGGTTGTACAGAGAAACTTTGGAAACAACTAAAAACCCAGATGGTAGATTTGGGGGGGAAAGTGTTGTGTGTTTCAAGACCAAACAACAAAACAATTTGTTTAAGCCAATGTCGTGCTGGTTTTTCAGCTGGCTCATAATTTTGGAACACCTAGGGGCGATGAGACTGCTTTCCAGTAGCTTGATCCAATCCAAAATATTCGCTGTGTCCCTGGGAATTGTTTAGTCATGACATGCCAAGATCATTGGAGTGGTGGGGTCACATACACACTTGGGACTGATGTCAGGTCTTAGATTTCCAAGACCAGAAGGGACCGTTGTGTTCATCATGTCTGACTTCTGGCATAGCACAGGTCTCCCCTCAGTTAACTCCTGTTTGCCTGACAGATCTGCTCCAGTCTTGATTTTAAAAAGTGTTAGTGATGGAGAATCAACTCCAGCCCTTGATAAATTCTTCCTTTGATCTTATTTCTACAGCTTCAATGTCTTGCCACTGGATTATGTTAGACTTTCACTGGATAGATTGAAGAGCCAATCTTCTGTTCCCTAAGTAGGTACTTGGAGACTGTGACTGCGTGATGTACAATCAAGATTGGAAATGGGGCTGATGGAAAATTTTCCATTGAAAATATGTCCATGAAAAGCTGGGGTTTCAATTTAAACTTTTTTTTCCCCAAAAACCCACCTGCTTACCATGGGAAATGTCCACACATTTTTTGTATTGGTTTGGGGTTCTTTTTGTCAAAGATAACATTTTTCAATGTGGAGAGTCTGCTGCATTGCCTCATGGGAGTTTTAGTTCAGTTTTAGTTCAGCCCCATGTCTGTTTTTCTTCCACAGGTTCAGAGGGGTAGCTGAGTTAGTCTGTAGTCTTATTGTTGGATCTGGACTTTTAATGCTCCATTCATCTGAAGAAGTGGGTTGTACCCATGAAAGCTCATGATACCATCTACATGATTTGTTAGTCTTTAAGGTGCTGCTAGACTATTCATTGTTTTTTTAAGTTTTTCTTCTACAGACTGGTCATTCCCAGACAGACTACATTTCCCATGAAGCACCCTTCTAAGAGGGAGGGGACAGCAGTGCATCATGGGAGATGTAGTCCAACTAGGAAGCCTGGCCTATAGAGGAGAATGAGAGCATGGGGCAGCTGAAATGCAATTCCCATGAGACATGGCAGCAGCAAGCAGCAAAATGGTTTTTAGGACATGTTTTGGTTTTGGACAAAACCTTTCAGTATTTCAGTGTTTGCTGAAAAAAAATCAAAATAACCTATTCATTTTCATCAAAATTTTGCATGGCAAAATCTTCCATTTCCCACCCAGCTCGGTATCTGGTGTTCCCATTCCTGCGGTGACAATGGTGGTGGAGACTTTGAAGGGATGAGACTGAACCTAGTAGAGCTTAGTCATTGTATGTTGAATTAATGGAGACTCCAGCCCTGCAATCAGCTCTTCGCGGGTTGAACCATGAAGTAAAGAGGGCTCTTTGGACAGAGATGCTTGAACAATTTGTATGGTGAGTGTGCGGAGGCCTTAAACCAGACTAAGCCCTGTATCTAATGGAAACCACTTCAAGCCAGGGAGTGCAGCAGCACCCCAGTACTCCTAGTTCCAGCACCTACAGCTCTGGAACTATGGCCTCAGACCAAGACCCTCCTTTGCAAAAGGTGATTTTTTGCTCAAACTGACTGCAGCCCGGAGCTGAGAGCACAGACATTTCAGGAGAGAGGCTGAAACGTTTGCCACTGAACTGGATTTAAGTTTGCAATCTCTGCACTTTTCCTGGGCTGCGTTGCACTGGAGACATGACCATTAGTGGTCCTTGCTGGCCTTGCAGTCTATTAATTAGTTTTGGTTTTGGTTGCTGCTGCTGCTGCTGTATAAGGGCCTGCTCTTGCAAACAACTCAAGAGTGGGAGTAAATTATGTCTGAGAGTGCCTGGCATTTCTGACCAAGACTGGGGAGCCTGCCCCTCCTTGGACCAGGTGTTGCACAGAGACATAGGGATAGACAGTCCCTTCAAGAGCTTCGAGTCTGAACAGGTGAAAGGCAGGAGAGGAAAGACACAGAATGGTGACTTGAACTGATTTGCTCAGTGACAGAGCCAGAACCCCTGACATCCAGCCCGCCCTGCTCTAACCTATTAGACTCTGCTTCTTGCCCAGAGCTGGGGAAACTTGTCCTGCCTCCTCCTGATTGCCCATAAAGCCAGTCTGGTATTTCCAGGCACCAGAGGACAAAGCAGAAACACTTCACCAAACCTGGTGCCGACTTCTTGCAGCAGAACAAATGGCATGTTTAGGGTTAAACCTCTGGACGGTGAGTTAAGTTTCCACTGGAAAAATAGCACCATAGGCCACTGTCCACGCGGCAAGCCTGTGGACCCAGCTCCCTGTCCTGTTGTAGGCAGTACCATTTCCATAGGAAATATTCTACCATTTCATAGCGTGTGCTTCTTTAAAGGTGACTTGAAAAGAAGTGTGAGTGAGGGAGGAAGTAATGGGGGTGTTAATAAAATGAGGCATCTGCTCTTTTCTTCTTCTTCATGGCCTGTAAGTCTGGTTTGATTATCTTGCTCTCTAAAAGGTATTTCCTAGTTTATTAGGAGCATTACAGTAGTACTTAGATGGTGGGCTCTGTACTAGGGATGTGAACTAGTCGACTATCAGAAAGAGGCAGCAAGGGGTAGGGGAAAGAGGAGGGGGCGCTTAAAAGCAGCAAAGCAGAGCCCCAGCTGGCTCTGGGCTGCATGCAGCATTTCAAGGCAGCAGCACTGCATGGAGCTTGGGGTCAGCTGAGAACTCTGAGTCCCCCGCTGACCCCAGGCTCCATGCAGTGTTGCCACTTTGAAAAGCCACAGGAAGCACAGGGCCAGTAGGGACTACTTGAGTCCCCCACTGGCCCCATGCTCCCTGTAGCACTTTAGCCTTTGAAGTGTAGCAACAGCCCTAGGACTGTTGCTACACTTCAAAGGCGGAAGCACCCTTATCAACTAATCCAATAGTCAATACAAATTACATCGACTATTCGATTAGCCAATTAATCTAAATTTAACATCTCTACTCTGTACAGGGTGAGAGATGGTTTCTGAGTCCAAAAAACTGAGTCTAAATAGACAAAGAATGGGTAAGGAAACTGGCGCACCGGGAGGATTTGGGATTTATTCAAGGTCAGAGGCAGAGCTGGGAATAGAGCCCAGAGGTCAGGGATCCAGGGTCTGTCTACTCTGCAGTGTCAGTCCATGACTGATAGAACTGGACTAGAGCCTAAGCAGCTACAGTGCTTTGTAACCACAGGTTAAGAATTGTTCAACCCTGGATCCCAACCTAGGGCTCCAGCCTCTACACTGCATTAGGCAGGCCCAAGTCCAACCACCCATGTCCTGGACTTCCTCGTGCCCTCCCAAAATGTGGCTGCTCTCACCCTTTGGTTGTGGGGTAGTGTGGGAAAGCTTGCCTGTCCAGAGGACAAAGAAAGTTGACCCATAGGATTATGGGAGACTGTTAGCAGAACCCCAGAGCTTGAGTCCAGTGAGGCTGTGTCTACTCTGCAAAGCAATAGGGCTTGAATAGAGCTTTGGGGTCCCAACCTTGGGTTAGTGCAATGCGTGTGTAGACAGAATGGGGGTTAGGTCTGAGTTCAAACCTTGGAATTTTGGCTCAGTGTAGACACCATGTCCCACTCAGAGCTTGGGCTAGAACCCAAGAATCCTGAGTTCCAGCCTCCTCCACTGACCACTAGACACCATGCTCCTCCCAGAACTAGGAATAGGACTTAGAAGTCCTGACTTCCAGGCCAATGTCCTACCCACTGGCTCGCCCTTCTGTTCACCTCAGCTGCCATGGAAGTTCAATTTTTCCCAGCCAAAGATGAGATGCTGCTGGCTCCGGGGTGGTATACTACCCTGCATTAGAACATTTTTCTTCCTCCCTTTCCTGGTATCCCTGGTAAGCTGGAGGATAAGGTCTCTAGAAACAACATCTAGGTAATTCAGGGGCTGTTCTTCTCAGTCAGGCTGTCACTATCGCTTTCAGGGGGGTAGTTTTTTTTTTTTTTTTTTTTAAACACCTAGAGTTCAAACAGTTGGGAGGAAAACTCAAAATTCAACTCCCCCTTTCTTTTGTCCTTTATTACAGGCAGAAGGGCAGTTCTTTGGGAAAAGGTTTCCACAACTGACCCCAAAGTGTGTTTCAGTAACTGTGATTCCATTAAAATGACCCGAAACTCACTCAACCCCCCCTTCTAAAGCAGCCTGGTTTTCACCCAATCATGGAAATCTGGCCCTTTTGGGGTGTGAACTAGCAGGACACCCTTCAAGTGCAGGCATCCCAGGACTGCTAGTGACAAATTTTGGCTGAGGATCCTGATGAGGGTGGTGGTAAAAGCAGTAACAGTAAGATAGGTGCTGAGAGATACACCCATAAAGATGAACCCAGAAGAAAAGAAAAGGGCGGGTCTCCAATTCCTCTCCCCCAGAAGCAGCTCTCAGAAGCCATGGCAGAGAATGGGCGCATGAAAGCAGTCCTGCTAGCACCCCCCTGGAGGTGGGCATGTTGGGGCATGATTCCAGGCCTGCAGGTACTGGGGAATGGAAATGGAATCCCACTCTCCCAGTACCAAGTTCGTGGGGTGCTGGGCCACTAGCCCCTCCATGTTCCTGTCCTCGGAGGCTACAGGGGGCACCCTCCTCCCCCAGTGTGGGAAGTCAGGCCCTCACTGGCAGCACAGCCGCTCCACCTCTTCCTCACAGCTGTAAAACTGTCGGAAGACCCCCTCGGCCGAGCCATTACACTCAAACCAGCGCCGCAAGGTCCCCAGGGCCTTCAGGGCATCAGCCTTCGTGGGCAGGCTGCCAAAAAGGTCCTCCCCCTCCCCCTCCTCTTCTTCTTCCTCCTCCTTGTAGGCCCCGGTTGGGGGCAGGGTTGGGGGATAGGCCAGCTCTGTCTCCATGTCAACGAAGCGCCGGAATTCTTCCAGGCTCATCCCCCTGGGGGGAGGGTGCCTGGAAGGCCCAAAGGATCCCTTCCCCTTGGAGCAGCCGGCTTCCCCAAAGCACCGTTCCACCAGGGAGGGCTGGACTTTGTCCCAAGCGGCTGCCACCATGTGGAGGGCATCCAGCACAGTGATGGAGGAGGCAATGGAGGCAGGAGAGGTGTCAGTCTCGCTGCCAATGGAGAACACCTTGCCCAGAAGCCTGCGCTTGTAGCGGGACTTGAAATCCCGGACAATGTCGGGATGGAGTGGGCAGGGCGAGGGGCTGTCATCATGGCGTGGCCGTGGGGGCAGGAAGACTAGGCGGATGTTGGCAGGCTCTGGATTGGGGCAGCGCCGCTCAGCGTCCAGCACAAGCGCCACACTGCGGTGCTGCCGGCCCATCTCCCGGTCAAAGTCCGTCAGCCACTCGGAAAAGAGCTCCGGTGTCAGCTGGCTGTTGGCGCTGCTGCGGTAAAGTACTGGCAAAGTTTCCGTGTTGACCCCAAAGAAACACCGCGGAGCCAGCCGCCTGCCCACCACCACGGGCTTCTGCTTCTCCGTGCCACTCCCATTCACGCACAGCACAACACACAGCTGCTCCCTGACTTCCTGCTCCCTACCTGGCATGGCCTTGTACAGCAGCACCACTTCTCCGCAGCCAAAGACGTTCTCTGGGGCAAAGTCCTTCAGTAGCTGGGGCAGGCTGAGGGAAGCTGGCACTGGCCCCTTGTCACACAGGGGCTCCAGGGGGTGGACAGCTCGTGTCGGGTGCCGCTGGCCGAAGCATACGTTGTTACGGCGCTTCCACCGCACCAGCCAGCCGATGCTAGGCACAAACTCCTGGCCCATGATGTCCGCGAGCTCCTTGGCCTTCTGGAGCAGCATGGGCCCTGTGACGTCCCACATCTTGGTGCGGGCAATATGGAACCAGCACAGCAGGGCCTCATCGATGCTGCTGTATTTGGACTCCCGCTTGCGCTTCCGCTCCCGGTTGGCAGTCCCGCTGCACCAGTCCGCCAGCAGCTTCTCCTTGTTCTTGCAGATGCGGGAGATCTGGGGCTGGGAGACTTGGAAGCGACGGGCCACCTCTGACTGCGACATCTTGGATTCGTCCAGCATCTCCAGCACCTGGATCTTCTCTGCCAGGGATAGAGCATGAAGTTTCTTCTTCCCGTTCAGTTCCATGATGGCCCTGGAGTAGGAAGTGAAGGGATGTGCCAGGTACTGGGGACTGGACTATCTAGAGGTGAAAGAAGAGACTGTCCCACCCAACCCGCCAAAACTAGGGATGTAAGTGATTTGCATATGCTTATTGGGTAGTTGAGTAGTGACTTGACCGAGTGTGAGCCAGGACAACTGATTCCTGACTTGACACCGGTTCCCCCCCCTTCCCAACCCGCGGTGACTCTGCCTTCTAAATGTATTAGGAGCCTGGCAGCACTTAATACATTTAAAAAGCAGAGGCACAATGGGGTTAGCGCCCAGGCCCGGGAGCTAGCTCCACTGCAGCTCTGCAGTTTCCCCTCTTATCCACTAATCGAGTTGTCGATGGAAATTCCATCGACTACTTGATTAGCTGATTAAACACAATTTAACATCCCTACCCCCAAATCCTGATCAGTCATGCATAAGGCACATTCCAGTGGGAAACTTAACACCACTGGGGTACAACCCAGTAGTTCTGACTCCCAGCCCTCTCCCCCTCATTGGGTTCCCATTCCTTCCCTGAGCTGAAAGAAGAGCCATGGAGTCTTGGCTCTCAGAATCATGATCAGCTCCTTGGCCACAACCACCGAAATGTAAGTAAATAAATCTGGCAGTTGTCTTTAGAATAAAAGGGGGAGATGTTTCTAGGAGACATCTCAGCTAGTTAAATGCCTAATTTGAAGGGAGCCCCAGGCTGAAAACTGCTACTAAATATAGTTCACTTTAAAATTCAGCTTGTTCACATTACAGATCAGGGGCAGGGATGCTCAGATTTCATGCAGCTCCTGGAGGAACAGGTGCCTCTGATCTCAGTCAAGGGGGGTGCGGAACCTCATTCTCAGCAAGGGGTTGTGTAGCACCTGGCACCAGAGATCAGTGGGTGGGCAGTGCCCTGCACAATGGGGCCATGATTTCATGTGGGGCCCTTCACGCTATCACCACAGAAATAACTAACAGGACAGGTTATTTTATTGTCATGCCAACGGACACAGCCTGATTGTTGCCACCCTGGGGAAACGGGCATGTCAGGGGCAGACAACCAGAATTCATCACATCTAGACACTTTTAAATACAAGCAGCAGCAGCCCTGCAGGATAACACTAGCGGGGGCCCAGCTCAGCACCCTGAATCTAACAGCCACCAGTAGCAGCCGCTGCACAGGCAACGACCAGCCCCACAGCGGGGGCGGGGGGGTATTCCTGACCCCAATAGCTAGAGGTTGGCTTT